TTGAGAGGAATAAAAAATGTAATTGTGTATGTGTTATATATTTTATGTAAAAAAAAATTTATTTGTAACAAATAAAAGGTAAACTATTGTTAGAAAACATGGTATAAGATTCATTAACACTTATTTTTGTGTTACTAATAAATTGTGGAGCCTAAAAAACGTTTTGGTTAATAACTCCTATCCCATTGATGATGCAAACTTAAAATATACTTATAGAAAGCTGATAAAAAGGTTGTCAATGATTTCTGTTAGGAAAAACAAATCAACAAAGTTGAGTTAAATACTACCTACAGCTGTTGTACCTGAAGAGAAGTTTTTTCCAAAAATAGAAGCACCACAGGTCAATGACAGATTTGCACTAGAAATACAATTCCCCTTATCAAACAAAATAAAAAAAACTTGTTATTAAAATCTGTAATCTTTAGATGACCGTTTTCAACTGTATTAATAAATATCCTTTGATGTTTCCATGAAACCAAAAAAATTCGCCCCTGAGCACTTAAAAAGATACCTCGAAAGATACTGACTTCTATACAACTGCAAATAAATCAATGCCAAAACCACTTATAGCTCAATAAGCGAAATAAAAATATTTTGAAACGAAAAATTAAACGCCAGACAACAGTAAAACTATTGTTCTAAAATATTCATAAATTTTTCCTCTCTCATTCATCAATTAAGACCAATTGGTAGATGGAATACGTCCCGATTATGTTCCCCTCTGTTTGTGACGTCAGCTAAATCGGCCGAAATGCCGTTTTCAGTGATTTATAACAAGTCGGCTTTGCTTTTAACTATTTTTTTGCATTTTAAGGGACAACCTGCTGAAAATAAAATACCATTTCGGTATAAAACGGAAAAATTTGGCAAATTTTATTTTTTTGTAATATGGATAATGGGTACATTATATTAAGAAACTTTTCTTGTCTGTACCTAAGACAAAAGGTAAGTTTTTCTGGATAATTCTGGCGAAATTTCAATATTCTTCTTAGTATTTTTTAAATAATTTATGATACATTATACAGAGTGTCCCATTAATGCGTAATTTTTCAATATTTCAATTTGTGTTATAGCTACGCCTACAAATATTATTATCTATAATTTTTGTTTCATGCCAAATTTTCCTGAAATGGTCCGTATTCGAGAAATTTGACAAAATGTGCAAAATTCTGATTTAAAGAAAACGAGGGGTAAACACATCCAAAAAATGTGTACACAAGAATTCCTAACATAAAGAATACCTGAGAATTCCTGGGAATACCTGAGAATTCCCGGGAATTCCTGAGAATTCATGGGAATACCCAGAGAATTCCCGGGAATTCCCAGAGACTTCCTGGGAATACCCAGAGACTTCCCGGGAATACCCAGAGACTTCCCGGGAATACCTAGAAAATACCTGGAATACTGAGAGAATAACTGAGTATATCCAGATAATGCCCGAAAAATATATGAGAATAACCAAGTATTTCTAAAGATTTATCTAGAGTTAGTAAATAAGGTCCTTAATGAGGTCCTTAAATTATTAGGAAAATAAATAATTGTTCCGGATTTATTAACTAATGATTAGCATTTTTTCCCTCACTTTAGATCATATTTTACTTTTGATAAAATATAAGAAATAAAAAGATAAGATAGGTGGAAGAAAAATTTTAACTTTGGAAAAAAATCTGATGGGTCCAATACATGACTTTCCTATCTAGTTATTAGGTACATGCTTTTCCGGTTATTTTGTACAACCTATTGTATCATCCCTGTAAATGTTTAGAGGATGAACTAAATAAATTTTCCACATGCATCTTACTCGAAACATTTTTTATATTTGGTGTTTTCTCCGTTTTTAAACTGAAATTCGAAATTGCAGTTTATCTCAAATATCTCGACTACGGTCCATTTTAGGGAAATCATGTATATAACAAAAAATATAAAGAATAACATTTAAGAAAAATTATGTATGGGACAAAAATTATAGAAAATTATATTGCAAACAACTTTTATTCAAAAAAATTTCTTCTCCAATAGTAAATAATATTCGTTAAATTAAAAAAACGACCCCCTATAAAACACCCCCAGATGCTTCAACTATGTCCATAATTTAGACAACTCACCACAGAATGTATTTAAGCTTAAGTTTAAAATTTGGTGTTTTTCTCTTTATTCATTTTTGAGATATAATTTAAAATTCGAAATTTTCACATTTCCTCAATTTTTTCGAATACGGGTCATTTTGATAAGATTAAGTATGCAACCAAAATTATCTCGAAAATTATAGAGAATAATATTGCAATCAACTTTTATTCGAAGAAGTTTCTTCTCCAAGTGTAAATAACAAATATATTCCATAAAGTAGGAAAATGGCCTTCTATAAAGTACCCCCCAGATGTTCTGACCATGCCCAAAATATATTCAGCTCACCGCAGGGTAGATTAAAATTAAAAATTTGGTGTTTTTCCTTTTGTCCGTTTTTTAATTATGTTCAAAATTTCGAAATTATAATTGACAATGTTTGAAAATCCCTGTATGTCCAATTTTATCAACGATCAAAAATAACATTTTGCCGTTATCCACTGTTTAGCAACATTTGAAGTTTTTTTAAGGTAAATATTTTTACAGTATACTTTTTTTAAATAAAATTTTCGTACTGTTATTAATTTTTCTAATAACTTTATTTTGCACCTTCCTTTTGTCCTTTATGAGGGTTATTTGGAGAACATTTTTTACTTTCCCCTATATGTGTGCGTAGGTCTCGGCGTAGGTGCGTGAGTGGGTGCGTGGGTGGGTGCGAGGGTGGGTGCTTGGGTGGGTGCGAGGGTGGGTGCATGGGTGGGTGCGTGGGTACGTGCGTAGATGCGTGCGCGGATGCGAGGTTGCGTGGGTACGTGCGTGCGTAGGTGCGTGCGCGGGTGCGAGCGTGCTTGCGCGTGTTTCTTTATACTCGATAACTCATGAAAGGATTAGGAAAAAACACCAAATTATAAACTTAAGCTTTAATCCACCCTGCCGTGAAAGAAATTTGAGAAAAAGTGAAAATTTGGAATTTTAAACATAAGTCAAAAACGAATGAAGAGAAAAACACCAAATTATAAACTTAAGCTTTAATCTACCCTGCAGTAAGTTGTTTAGATTTTGGACATAGTCGGAAAATCTAGGGGGTACTTTATGCAGGGTCATTTTTCTACTTTATTAAATATACGCTTGCAGAAGAAACTTCCTTAAAGAAAAGTTGTTTGCAAAATTATTCTCTATATTTTTTGTTTTACACATAATTTTCCTAAAATGGCCCGTATTTGAGAAATTTGAAGATAAGTGAAAATTTCGAATTTTGAACATAACTCAAAAAGGGATAAAGAGAAAAACACCAAATTTTCAATTTAAGCTTAAACATATTCTGTGGTAAGCTGACTAAATTTTACGCACAGTCGAAGCATCTGGGGGTCGATTTTTTTACTTTAACGAATTTCAGTTATTTATGATTAAAGAAGAAATATTTTTGTCAAAGTTTTTTGCAATAGCATTTTTTATAACTTTTGTGCTCGCTTTAGTGCCATACATAATTTTTCTTAAATGGTCTGTATTGTAGAAATTTAACAAAAAAGTACAATATTTGAATTTTTTAAAATGAACCGTATTCCAGATATTTTTGGAAAACTGCAAAATTACGAATTTCAGTTTAAAAAAGGAAAAGAAAAAAAAACACCAAATATAAAAGTGTGTGAAAAATGTATGTATTTAGTTCATCCTCTAAACATTAGATTATACAAAATAACTGGAAAAAGCCTGTAATAACTAGATAGGAAAGTCATGTGTTGGACACATCAGATTTTTATAGAGAATTGCCAAAGAATACCTGAGAATTCCTGGGAATACCTAAGAATTCCTAAGAATACCTGAGAATGTCCAAGAATACCTGGGAATTCCTGAGAATTCCCGAGAATACCTGGGAATTCCTAAGAATTCCCGGGAATTCCCAAACAGATGTACACAAGAATTCCCAATGTATTTACCCCTCGAAAGAAAATAAAAGTTGTTTGCGATATCGATCTTTATAATTTTTGTTTAAACATGATTTTTTTAAATGGACCGTGATGGAAAAATTGTAGGAAAAGTGCTATATTAAAATTTTTCAGTATTTTTGTTTTCAATGAATATCTATGGAAAAATGTTTCGAGGTAGATGTATGTGGAAAATGTATATATTTAGTTTATCCTCTAAACATTTATAGAAGTGTTGCAATAGGTTGTACAAAATAACCAGAAAAAGCCTATAATAACTAGATAGGAAAGTCATGTGTTGGACACATCAGATTTTTAATTTAATAAATAAATATCAGTCATGTACTGAACATATTTTGAACTGAAAGCCAATTTATCTTTTGACATAGTTGCAATACTCATCCTTCTGTCCTTTATCAATATTATATAAATAGGCGAAGTAAGAATCCCAAATATTTTACATGAGCAGGCTTACGAGGTAAAGGGGCTATTTATTATTGGATAAGTTGCTCAAACAAGGTTGTAAACCCTAATCAAAAGGCGATATAGAATGATTTAAAAAATTAATCAAAAAATCATCACATGGTTTAACCTAAGTAATGCCGATGATTCAAAAACAAAAAAATTTAACGTCCTAATACTACTATCGCCTTTCGGTCTTTCGTTTCAAGTTAAACCATTTCTCGTTTTTTTTTTTTTACGTTACGAGGTTACCTTTGTGGGCCTCAGTCTCGATAAGGTGGGAACTACCATTTTAGCGTCTCTCGAATTTGGTGATTATTTTAGGCCATTATTCTCATATTCAGTGTTGGTCTTTTTTTAAAAATTACCCTGTATATTATTGATTATCTTGCATAAATAAATTACAGAATATACTTCTAATATTGGAAAGAATCTAGAATTAATTACTATTTCACTATATTGGATTTCTTATAGTTATGAATAAATTAATTTTTGCTGTTATGCTTCTAAACCAAACTACTTATTGATTAAATTAGAAGTTAACCATACCTTTGTTGTCGATAGAGAATATACCAATTCCGTCGCCACCTCTTATAGAATATTCAATGGTGCTATCGCCGCCAGGAGGATCCGAATCAGTGGCATTCACTAGCATAACGAAACTGCCTACAGGTAGATTTTCTTTCACTTTTCCCGATAGAACGAAATCTCCGAATTGCGGAACGTGCATGTTTTCATTCACGTCGACCACATTTATCGTAACACTCGCTTCCGAAGACAAAGAAGGATTCCCTTTGTCATTACCGTGAACTACTAAACTGTGCACTTGTCGTTCTTCGAAATCCAAGGATTTTGTGGTGCGAATCGTACCGGATAAGCTGTCGATCTTGAACGCTCCATCACTGTCACTATCTTCAAGGGAATAAATCACTTCTCCCTCTAAACCGAGATCTGGATCGGACGCTGTAAGTACTGCTACCACGGTACCTTTTGGTACGTCTTCACGAATTTTAACTATATAATTTGGAAGGCTAAATCTGGGAGGATTGTCGTTGATATCATCGATGGAGATTCGAACCAACGCTTGTGAAAATAAAGGAGGATTTTCAGGACCTTTACCACCACCGTCTGTAGCTCTTATTTTTAATTCATATAAGTCTTGACGTTCTCTGTCCAAAGCGTTTGATACGATAAGGACACCAGTTGTAGGGTCTACCCAGAAGTCTTTGGTGTCTGTTACTAAGGAGTAGGTGATTTTCGCATTGTCGCCTTCATCAGCATCAGTAGCATTTGCTCTAAAAATTGCAGTTCCATTTAATGCATTTTCGGTGACTCTGAAACTCGCCAATGCTTTTTCAAATTTAGGAGCGTTATCGTTAACGTCTAGTACTGTAATAGGAAGAATTCGTGAAGAAGATTTTTGTGGCTTTCCTAAATCATACACTGATATATTTAAGAAGTATTCGCTATCACGTTCTCTATCTAAATATCCTATCACTTTCAGTTCGCCTGTTTCCATATCAATAGTAAATTGTGAACGTAAATCTCCATTAGATATTCCATAGAGTAATTTTCCGTTATATCCTAAGTCTCTGTCGCGGGCCCGTAACTTAATAAGCGTTGTACCAAGAGCCACAGACTCGTTCACCTTAATTTCCACGGGAAAATCTAAAAATTCTGGAGAATGCACGTTGAGGCCGTAGCGCGTCGGCATCATTGGAAATTCCTCCTGCGTCGAAGGCTTGTTGTTATTTTCGGCATCAGCCAGAATCTCCGTTAATTTTCTGGCTACTCCAGTATCTCTGCAGTCGAATTGTTCAGGTTCATCGCTGAAAGATTTACCGTTCGATAAAACTTTTCTCTTGGAACTGACAAGCTTAAATCGCACTCTGGCGATATCCGCAAAATGAGTATTATCCGTTGCGGTGACGTTAAGTTCTCTTTCCCCGATTTTAATATCGTTCAGATCGCAGCTGACGCTAATAGTCCCTGAAGTGGTATCAATGCTGAAACAGCCATCTTCGTTACCGGAAACAATCCTATAACTTATGATGTTGCCGGCATCAAAATCGATTGCAGACAGTGTTATTATTTCGGATCCAATTGGAACGTTTCGTGCTATGTGGCCGAAGCAATCAATTTTTTCAAATTGCGGTCTGTTATCGTTTATGTCTCTGACTTTAACCGTTAACTGCATTTCTGTTTGACGCCTATACGGAAGTCCCCAATCAGACGCTCGTACACGAAGGACATATTCTCGTCTCATACTTTCGTAATCTAAGAGCATTGTTGTTTTAATGATGCCGGAAAAGTGGTCTATTTCAAAAGGAACTTTATTAAGATTTGCGATGAGATAGGAAATATAAGCGTTTTCCCCTCGGTCCTTATCTTTAGCGTGTACTGTGGTGACAGACGCTCCTGCTGGCATGTTTTCGTCTATCCAAACAACGGCCTCGGATTTTTCAAATATCGGGTCATTATCATTCGTATCTTCAACGTATATTTTTATTTTCGCAGACGATTGTTTACGTGTTGCTACATTTCCTTGGTCAATAGCGGAAACTGTAAGGCTGTAAAATTGTTTATTTTCGGCATCCAGTGGAACTGCTGTGTAAAGCATGCCAGTTTCTGAATTAATCCGAAACTCTCCGCCTTCGTTGCCACCTACTATTTCTAAATAAACTTGTGCGTTTTTACCCTCATCTGCGTCGGTTACTTTTAATCTGATTAATGGAGTATTTAGTGGTGCAGATTCGGGAACTTTGATATCATAAATCTCTTTACTAAACACCGGTGCATTGTCATTAAAATCGGCTAAAATGACATGAACGGATTTGTAACTCTCTTTAGTAGGTATACCTCGATCCACTGCTCTTAATTGCAATACATATCCATTCGGAGCCGTTTCCCTGTCCAATAATTTTAAAACTTCAATGTTGTATTCGCCGGGTTGTTTAGTCGGCCGTATTCTAAAGTGTCCGTCGGGATCTCCGTCAACAATTTCCAAACTCGCTATTTCTCCGTGAATTCCGCTGTCTTTATCCGAAACATTAACAATTGCGTAGATGTCGGCGTTCGAATTTTCAACTATTTGCGGGTGCCGTCTTATTTTAATTTCAGGCGAATGAAAATTAACTTTCTGAACTCGTATTCTTACTTTGGCCCTGCTGAACATTCCGAAACCATTTTTAACGATGGTCCCTCTATCTTGAGCGTACACGGTGAGTTCGTGATAGGATCCTTCATTGTATCTCAATGGGCGAGTTAAGGATATTATTCCTGTGATTGGATGTATCATAAATTTGTCGGTTTCCTCGATGAAGCTGTAATAAATCTCTCCGTTTCTGCCCAAATCTGCATCTTCGGCGACAACCCTTAGAACGCTTTGATGGATCGGTGTATCTTCAAAGACGGTGGCATTGTATTCTATCGGATAGAAGAGCGGGTTCAAGTCATCGGTATCGAGAACTGTAACATCAACGATGGTATCCGTAGTGTATTGAACTTTTTGTTTGCCTTCTTTGATGGAAGCAAACGCGCGCACTTGAAGATTATACTTATCTCTTCGTTCTCGATTTAGAACGTCGTTATTCCCTGTTTTAATTCTGATAAAAAGAAAACAGAAGTCGCCTACAATCCGATGTTCCGCCTTGAAAAATTTATCTTTATCACCGTCGACTATCTTATATCGAATGTCGATAAACGTTTCTGGGGGTATCCGAATACCCATGAGATCCGAACCGGGCGTTTGAGTCGCGTACGTTTTCGCAATACTGTTTTCGGGAATGCTGACATTGTAATGTTGTTTCGTAAACTGAAAATTAGCACTACCGTCGGCGACCACTGATTTTGAGTTTTGAGAAAGCGCGATAACCAGTAGGCAGCTCACGAGTGTGCACTGATTCATCATTTCAGCTCATCGCAACAAAACCTGAAACAGAAAAAAAGAGAGTTAATAATTTAATTAAAGAACTATAGTCACAATGTAAAAGCTTGCACAGATATTAAAGGAAAGGGGATAGAAAAGAGCATACCATGTAGATCGCCATATTTGCAATTTAGACCACCAAAGCATATGCGAAGTAGTTTTAGTGTAATTTGCATTGATTTTTTGTCGAAATTCGCTGATTTGGTGCATTTAAAAGAATTTTAGGAGTTTTAATTAATCTCTTCGGCGCATTTAGAGATTTAGCTTTATTTTGCTTGAAATTAAAATATAAATAATTGTATTTTGAAGAAAGGCTTTTATTAATTAATCAAATACAGAACTAGAACTTATTGCGTTTAAACTAAACTTATTTTACAAAAATAACATACTAAAATAAACTTAACTAAAGTAATACAACACATACAAATATAATATTCAAAATAACAAGGAAAAACATTAAATTGAACTAGTTTTACAGGGTGGTCCATATTTGTGGAATATATTAATTATTGATTTTATTATTACGTTTTGAAAAAAAAAATCCTTGAATAGGTCTATTTTTATTTCTAAAATGACATTTTCTGAACAAAATTATTTATCTCCCCCTTCAACCCCTTCGGAGTAAAAGTATTTAATTTTTTGAAATAGAAAGGGGTAGCGTGTGATACCTCATTTTAAAGGGTTTTTAATTCCCTATTCAGCAGTATAAGATTTTTTGTTTTTTGTACAGGGTGTCTGATTAAGGACTCGTAGCGGCTGTATCTCAAAAACTATTGATCCTACGGCTTCGAAAAAAAAAAAAAAAATAATAACAAAAACGGTCAAGAGAAAATGCTGGAAATTATTTTGAACTTTCTATTTTAACCGTTAGAGGGCGTAATTCGCTATGGTAATTCAAAAAAATCACTTTTCCCCTATAAATGTCTAATAATAGTATGATAATAATAATCGAACGGTAATTTTGATTAAATTTTACAAAAGTTTTATTCAACACTTTTTGCTCTATTCAATAAAATAACAGGTAGGGGCGATTGGGAACCTTAATTTAATAAATGTATTTTAACTACGGTGTCGTTTATCAGATTTTGAAAAACTTTATATCGATTAAAAGAAAATTGATTGTTTAGTAAAATATTTCAAAATAGTTCTGATTCAGTTGTTAAAAAGAGCATTAGGTGGCGTTGTTTAAGCAGTAACCTTTTTTTTGAAGTTTTCTTGAAAAATTTAAATGGAATGTTATAATTTTTATACGTTATTTAGAAAAAGAATTAAATTCTGACAAGAAACAAAAAACCGCGTCTTATTATCTTTTTCCTAACCGAATAAGCAAAAGTCTATTAATGGTGAATAGTCCACTTAAATATTAATAAATAAAATTATTGATATTTTAATCTAGTTGGCTTTGAAACGTCAGTAATTTTTCGATAGCTTAACTGTACAGCGATTAAGACAAAAAAATATTAAAATCGGATTTAAATTAACTCTTTAGTGTAAGTTTACTGGTTTAATAAAACTAATTGCGAAATAAAAATTGAATATATTAATAAAATACAACAAAACAAGTAACTAAACACAGAACAAAATAGAGAATGCAATACAAGAATTAGAGGTAGTGCTCGAATTGTTTTCCATCTTTTTCAATGCAAATATCAAGTGTCTGTCTAGTTGAATTGACAGCAGCTTCTATTTCAGCCCTAGGAATATGATCAATTTAAGTTTGTATTCGTTGAATTAGATCTTTTCTACTTACAGGCTGAGTTTGGTAAACTAAAACTTTAAGTCGACCCCACAAATAAAAATCTACTACGGTGAGGTCGGGAGATCTTCGTGGCCATGTAAATAGACTACCTCTTCCAATCCCCCTATTCCGAAAATGTTGATTTAAAAAGTCTTTTACATTATTTGTATAATGTGCTGGGCAGCCATCCTGCTGTATCCACATATTACGGCGTACCTCTAGTGAAATATTTTCTAATAAAATAGGCAATTTGTCTCTCAGTAATCTTAAATATCGCTCACCATTTAAATTTTCATTAATAATAATAGGACCTATAATTTTACCGTCTAAAATTCCACACCACACATTTACTGACCACCGACCTTGATTAAAAACTTCTCGCATCCAATAAGGATTGTGGTCAGACCAGTAATGCATATTATGCCTGTTTACAGATCCATTACTGGAAAATGTAGATTCGTCGGACCACATTATATGTGATAAAAATTGTGGATCCTCATTAAGCATATTCTTAAGCCAATTACAATAATCCAGTCTTTTATCATAATCTGTTAATTTCAGACCTTGATGAAGGGCTACATGGTATGGATGGAGACGATTTTGTTTTAAAATAGAACAAACGCAGTAACTAGTAAGTCCTAAGTCGGAAGCAATTTTCCGTATACTTATATGTGGATTTGCAGCAACGTATGCTAATATATTTATTTCGTTAATTTCCGTTCTGCTTCTTCTACGTCGTTGAATAGCTTTTTTAGGTTGAACACAGCCAGTTTCTTTTAAACGAATCGCCAGATTTTTAAATGTTTCTCTTGTTTGTAAAACTCGCTGAGGGTATCTCAACGCATATTCTCTGGATGCAATCGGGGCGTTCTCAAAACATTCAAAATATACTTTTAACTGTCATAAGCTTCGGAATTACTGTAAGGCATGATGTCTTTTAACTTATTAAAATATAATTAATTCGACTTTTAAGCTTACTGACATTTCAAAGCCAACTTGATTAATATATCAATAACTTTATTTATTAATATTTAAGTGGACTATTCACTATTCACCCTTAATAGACTTTTGCTTATATTTGGTTAGGAAAAAGATAAAAAGACGCGGTTTTTTTGTTTCTTGTCAGAATTTAATTCTCTTTCTAAATAACGTATAAAAATTATAACATTCCATTTAAATTTTTCAAGAAAACTTCAAAAAAATGGTTACTGCTTATACAACGCCACCTAGTGCTCTTTTAAATAACTGAATCAGAACTATTTTGAAATATTTTACTAAACAATCAATTTGCTTTTAATCGATACAAAGTTTTTTAAAATCTGATAAGCGACACCGTAGTTATAATACATTTATTAAATTAAGGTTCCCAATCGCCCCTACCTGTTATTTTATTGAATAGAGCAAAAAGTGTTGAATAAAACTTTTGTAAAATTTAATCAAAATTACTGTTCGATTATTATTATCATACTATTATTAGACATTTATAGGGGAAAAGTGATTTTTTTTGAATTACCATAGCGAATTACGCCCTCTAACGGTTAAAATAGAAAGTTCAAAATAATTTCCAGCATTTTCTCTTGACCGTTTTTGTTATATATTTTTTTTTTTTTTTTTCGAAGCCGTAGGATTAATAGTTTCTGAGATACAGCCGCTACGACTCCTTAATCAGACACCCTGTACATTTATATTCAAGAAACATCAATTTTTATTTTTAGCTATTCTATTAATAATACTACAATTTTATGGTATTAAATGTTCAAAATGACTGCCGTTAACTTCTTGACAATAACCAATGCGGTTATTAAATTCTTGCCAATTTTTTCCATTTCTTCGGTGATGCTTTCTTTTAATTCGTCAATAGTCTCCGGTCGATTTAAATACACTTGAGACTTTAAGTGGCCCCAGAGAAAATAATCAAGCGGCGTTAAATCGGGAGATCGAGGTGGCCATGCAATGGCTCCACGCCTGCCAATCCATCTGTTAGGAAATACTTCATCCAAGTAGTCTCTCACTCCACGTGCAAAATGTGGTGGAGCACCATCTTGTTGGAACCAAACATTTCTATGTTTCATCTGGATTGTTATTATCAGGATACAGAACTTGTAATTGAGGTACCAAAAAATTTGTTAAAAAATATAAATATCCTTCACCTGTCAGAGAGTCATCAAAAAAGTAAGGCCCAATGATTTTATTTTCAATAATACCACACCACACATTCACTTTTTTAGGAGACTGAGTGTGCGTCTCCATTATCCAATGAGGATTTTCTTTGCTCCAATAATGAGAATTGTGTCGGTTGACAGTATCATTTAAGTAAAACGTTGCCTCGTCCGAAAAAAGTATTTTCTGTAAAAACTGCACATCTGCCTGACATCTGTTCATTATTTGTTCACAGAATTGTAGCCTTCGGTCTGGATCGTCCTCAGATAACTCCTGTGCCAACTGAATTTTATTGTGTAAAAAACGAAAAATTTGTGTTTTACTGACATTGTGTTCGGCAGCAAGTTGTCTAGTAAATTTATGCGGATTTTCTTCAAGGGCTATCATAACATCTAATCGTTTATCCTCATCAACTTCAGGGGTTCTTCCTGCGTTACGAACTTGCTTCACATGCCCAGTACTATGAAATTTCTTTGCTACTTTGCTAACTGTAGACTGAAATATTATGTCCTGGATATTTATTATTAAATAATTCACATATCTCCCTATGCGTTCGTTTTCTATTGTCACAACCATGCATTATTAAATTATCTATTTTTCTTCGCAACTTCGTCTCCCTCATTACACTTTGTAGTATATAATCTCGCTCCGGACCTGGCACGTTTGTAGTTTTTAAGCAAAAAATTGGTACTATCGCTATCGCTTCGGTGAAATATTAGTCATTATAATTTCGTGCCTGGACCGATAAACAGTGTTTTTAAAATATAGTGCTGTGAACGAAAAAATGCCCAAAAAAAGCAACGATAGTGATACTTCCAACTCAAGTCAAGAATGGCGTGGAAAGAAATCAAAATATGAAAAATTATACCGTGAGGTAGCGAAACTTAAGCGGAAACTAAAATATAGATCATCGTCTTCTGATAGAAGTGAGATTGAAAGTAGTAAGTACAAAAATTTTAATATAATTATTTATTTCAAATGGTTAACAATAAATGCAAAATTGCAATTCCAAACTTACGTAAGGTTAGTGATTAAATGATGTGTATTATTTAAGTGATTTAAATATACACATATACATATTTTA